GTTCAGGCCCACCTCTGTGGGAGCTGAGCTGGCCTTCTGTTTAGTCCCACCTCTGCGGGAGCTGAGCTGGCCTTCGGTTCAGGCCCACCTCTGCGGGAGCGACTGTCATAGGTGACAGTGTCTCCCCTGCAGACAGCAGCCTCCACATGGTCTCCCCAGAGCCCAGTGTGTTCCCCACTCTGCTGAGAGAGGGATCTTCCCAAACCAACCAACCAAACACCACATCGCTCTTCTCCTTATTAGGAATAATAATGTTGTTGATAACCCTTTGTTTAATCATAAGCTCCACTGACAACCCATGAAAGCTATGGACTCTCTTCTAGTAAAACTAATTTTACACAGTACTCTATATTCTCTGGAACCATTTAGTAGAGATTTCTCAATCCCGTATCCAGCTTTCTTCCTCATCTGATCTCCCACCACCTTTGTCCTTTCAGATATTTACACTCAGGTGCTATAAACCTTCCTGGTGTTTCCCAGGCTGGGGCCATCCTCCAAGTTCTCTTCTCTTTCAAGTGAGCTCTTAGTGATCTGGGATACTCTGTTGGAATACTGGGAGACCTTGTGATGTGGCTGCCATAGACAGCCTGGGATTCAAACCTGGTTACATAGATAAGCTTGGGAACACCACATAGCTGATTAAAATCTCAATTTCATCCTTGGTAAAATAATGGTTGCAATATTATTTTACTGAGATTTTATAAAGCTGAAACATGATAGTGAGGATAGAGGGCTTAATGCTGTATTATAAATGCATGTTTCTGTTTTCAATCTGGGGAGTTATCACCTTCTCTCTGAACCTTGACGGCCCTCACTCCATCAATTCCTAACCCCACCTTCACCGCAGTGAGGGATCTTGGGTTTGCCTCTCCACACTCCCCCAGCACTCTGGGACGATGTCTCTAACCTGGTAATACGTGTGACATTGTCTGTTTCTCCATCTAGAACAGTAGTTCTTAGCTGAGTCTGCACATTGGAATAACCTTTGGAGCTAGTTCTATTAAATCAGAGTCTTGCGTCTGGGGTGCAGTGGTGCTTTTAAAAGTTCTCCAGCTGGATCTAATGCACAGGTCTAGACTAGAGCCACCTAGAGAACAGGGTTTATCAGTGACGGCCCGTTGCTGTCCCGGAGCTTGGCACAGAGAGAGATGCTGTAAAGTGCCTGTGGAATGAATGAATGAATGAATGCAGGACAGCAGACGATCCGGTATTTATGGATATACATTTGATGAACTTCAACCCATTTGATGATGAAAGTACAGCATTCAAATTTAAAATATTCTTAATATATTTACATTTATACAATGGTAATCAATAAGCAGAAAAAAAAGTGTAAGTTTCTCAAAATCTAAATATTGCTTCAGACGATTTCCCACCTCCGCATTCACGGTTATGATTTTGATAACCATTTGTTATGATTTTGATTCATTATTTTGGTTTCCGAAGTCATATTAGCTCGGTTGCTTTAACCTATAAATCTCTTAAAGTGAGTCTAAATGCCTGGACCTGCGGTTAGCTGTTCATTTGCTTGCTAACATTTCTTACACGGCTGTATAACACCACCCCTTCTCTCATTTGCTTTGCGGCCATCTTCTGGAGATGCGTATGTAGATTTATAGTTAACCTGTGTTTGGGTCTATCAATGATTGTGTTTTAGCTGCAGAAATGCACACAGTAGCATGAGAAAAGAGAAAGCAAAGAACTAACTGTATTGAAAGTGATAGCGCCAGTAATTTGTTGAAATTAAATTTCCCCCAGAGTGGCTAGCGGAGCCGCTTCTCTGAATGCTAAATGGGGGCTAATATAGAACATAGTATTTCTTTTTGTAAACACTGTCAGAGCACCCTGACTAGTAGCATCAGCTTTCTTATCTGAATGCAAAAGATTCATCAGTTTATTTCCAGCAGGCTTTGATTTCAGGATGGCCTCTAGACATCTAGCTGAATGGTGGGGAAGGGAAGCTGATTCCTATCTTCTCTGATAAGGAGGATCATGACTCCATTGCCTCAGGCCTGGCCTGGAAATTGAAATGTTATCGGCTTAACAGAAAGAAAGAAAACACATTACAAAAATGTCTCTAATTGTTGGGGGATGCCAGTGGTGGGAATGTACAGACTGGGTATCTTTATTGAAATAAAAATGGTTGATTCTGGGACTGTATTTAATTTTTCCAAAATGTTATTTTCTCCTAGGTAATCAGCTCTGATGTGGGGTCTACAGTTTCCTTCTGGGTAATAGACACCGGGCAGAAAATCAAACAGTTTACTGGTTGCCATGGCAACGCAGAAATCAGCACGATGGCCCTTGATGCAAATGAGACGCGGCTTTTGACTGGCAGCACAGATGGGACCGTGAAGGTGAGAACACAGCTGTGTTTCCCCCCCTCCCCGACAGGAGAGGCTAAAATTCTGCACCAGGACACGCGGCTGGACACTTCCTTTTGTCTGTTTGGTGTTGTGAGAGAGGAGCTAAATAAACCAAACCGTCTAATAACAAAGCTGCCGGGAAGATCAACCTTCGTGGAAAAGAGGATACATTATTTTTATGAATAGATTCTTTAGAATAAAAACGTGGCTTACTTATTTCAGAAAGCCCCACTTTCAGTGTGCTGAATAGGGTTAGATCACTGGATAATTTTTGTGTGCTCTGGCTAATATCTCTAGTTCACTTTTTCTAGGTTTATTAAACGAGAAATCACTGCAACTTAAGTAAACTTGATAGAACAGTACAGATGCCAATCTTTCAGAAAATAAATATCGAAAAGAAAACCCATTTTTTAATTTGCATTTTTTTTTTTACTTGAAGGTAAGGGAGATAGTGAGGGAGAGTATTTGAAAGAACAATTATAGTCTTACTTATTATTAGTCCTAAACTACTTTATTCTTCTAATTTTCTTGTTTTGTAACTATTGCTCATTTCTTCTGGGAGGAAGGTGCTATTTTGCTCTGCAAAGTTATCAACTTTTCATGCGATGCTGAGGCCACAGAGTTGGCCTACGAGAACCACTGAAGCATTTTGTGAAGCTTCAGAGAGAAGCTTCTCTGATCCCTTCATTCCCGAGAGAGCAATGACAGTATTTGATTGGAGATGGCCTGTACCCCTCTGAGGAAACAGATGGTGGTTTCCCGAGTAAGCTTTGACTAGTTCTCCAACATGTTGTACCTGGGGTCAGAAGGGTATTGGATTCCCTTGTGCAGTGCGGTGTGTGATGCATTTAGTTAGGCTGAAGGGAGGGGGACACAAAGCTACCTGGTCGTGCAGGTATAGCATCCTAGTGGTTGGGGGCAGGTAACAAGAGGCACACTACCATGGCAACCACGGGTGTGAGGCAGGTGCCGTGCTCGGGTAAGTGAAGTGAGAATCTCTCAGCATCAGTAGAACTTGGATCCTGGGGTAGTTAATGGAATGAAGTGTGGAAAGGGAACTGTGGTTTCAGTAACGCAAGCGAGTTTGCAGGAGCTCTGCTAAGACGTGTGATGGTACCAGGACAAACCCAATCCTGGTGGTTGTGATGAAGTAACAGGAGACTAACTGGAAATGGTTTGGGCAAAAGACACAGCCAGTATGTCATTACTAGTTCTGGGCTCTGAGACCGAGCTGAAGCGTGAAGCCCAAGAAGTTGTATACATCCACCTGTGTCCTAGACAGTAACTGGTGCAGTGTCGAGGGCAGTGGTTTAATACAGGAACTGTACTACAGGGCTGTGGCATTAGGAAGGTTGAGAACTACTGGTCCAGGGGAAACTAGGGGAACGGAGAACTTGCAGATGTTGCTGAACTGCTGGGACTAAGAGATTTAGTAGGATGGGGGGAGGGGCAGTCAAATCTTTCGGTACCTATTTGTGGCCACAGCCATGTTTAGGAGAAAACAAAGTGGCCTGTGGGTGCAGCCTGTGCACACTCCACGAGTCTCAGCTCAGGGTTGCCTCTCAGCAGCTCCTGTGACTCCAGGAGGATAATCCCTGCTTTTGGAGGCTTGTTTATCTTTATCTCAACTGCACAGCCGAGTTCTGAGATCTGGCTACTTCTGCTTGTGACACGTAAATTGGGTGGAGCTTCCCTGGCCATAGTCTATGAAGAAATAAGAACGAATGACATTTTCCAATCTCATTTATAATTTAGAGTCCAAAATCAGTACCTCTGTAATCAAAGATGTATAAAGTTTCCTCTATTTATCACGGCTCTGAAGGGTGTATTTTTACATTAATTGAATGTTTTAAATAATTAATATGTACATAAAACAAGTGGAAAAA